AATGTAAACAAGCTGATTTTCGATTGAATAAAACTTAAACTTGTCACTCAATTACAATAATCAAATTACAAGTTCAAATAACATCACAATAGACAGGGCCAAACTTGGTTACAAGAACTAAATTGTAAACAAACTATTTCTAAGTACAAGAACTACTCCTAGATAAGTTACACTACTCCTAGATTTCACATGAGTTGTGACTTTGGTTGAAAGTCTTTTTTCCTTTGAACTTCCAAACTTTATATGGCTTTTATTGGCCATGCTGTGCAACCACGTGTCCATTTGATGGATTCCCACATCTGCCCATGATCTGCAATTGCTGCAACTGCTAGAATTGCCTTGTGCTTTCTTTCTTCCTAAAGTTGCCATGTGTCACATCCTCACTCTTCTTCCTTGGGCCACTAACTCAACACCCCTAATTTTTGGACGTCTTTTGCACATGTTCATACCTCTGTCGACAAAAAATTTTAAGTTTATGGTGCCAACAGTTTGATTAAAATAAATATGAAAATGACTTTTTTTAATTTATTAAAATTATTTTTCTACTAAAAAGGGTAAAAACATATGAAAATGATGAGTATTTTTTATTTATTTATTTTTTTAATAAACTATTTATTATTATTTGTTTTTACAAAATCACATTTAAGAGACTTATGTCCTATTTAATCTTATTAAAATTCCTGTAACCTATCCTGTTAACCATTGTCACAAATTATATAGATGGTAATAAGTAAATATGAATATTCTTACCTAAACTAAACATAGTCTATACTATATATATATATATTATAAAGTAACTCTTTGTGAGTAGTATTGTGAGAGTTCTAAAACTCCTGAATATTTTTTTTGAATTAAAACATAATATTAAAAAATACTGTTGGCCAACCCATTCAGCCAATAATTATAAAAATATTAATTGTCTCATGATTTATACTTCTTAGAAGGAAAGATAAAACAATTTCTTTTCTTATTTGTCAAAATCTATTCTCTCATAAAAATTCAAAAGGAAAAATTAAGAAAGCTCCAAAACTAATATAAAATTGTCAATTTTATGATTTTGAAAACTAAGAAATACACATATAATAAAACTAAAAAAAATTAAAAGATATATTATGTTCGAAACTAAACAAGAAAAATAACTAAAGAAAATATAAAAAATATGTGAATGAAAATTTATCCAAAAAAAAAAAATGTAAATGAAAAATGTCAAGAACTTAATAATAAAGTGTAATGAAAAATGTGTAGCCCAGTTCGGTTTGATTTTGACTCATAAGATTTGGGTTTATGAGTGAAACGTGATTTTAATTTTTTAAATAAGTCTGTACCAATTCATTGACCAGTCAAAGTGAAAAAATCCATTAAAATATAAGATTTAGACATAATAATTGCAGTCAAGATAAATCCAACCCCACCTATTGATAACCCCTAATTGTCATATGCTTAAAAACATAATTTTTATACATAAAACATATTTAGAATGATATGATAATACTCCTAGGTGGATGGAACGGGGCTTGTGGCGCCTGCAAAACTTCCACAAACTCCATTAATTTATATCGGTAATGATACATCCCACTAAAAGTGGTGCTCTAAAGCACCATTAATGAGTTGGCAAGCACTTTAAAAAAAAAAAAACAAGACACAAGCAGTGAGCTCCGTCCACTGCCACATCACTAGTGGTGCTTTTAGAGCACCATTTTTAGTGGTCTCAAGCATTATTGTAATTTATGTTATATTTACTGTGTTTCGTTTCAATTTTTTAAAAATTGAATTTTTTTTATTTTTTATGTTTTTTGTTTTTATTTTTAATAAATATTTTTAAAATTTTAGACATTTTTTATTTTTATTTTTTTAGATGTACTTTACTTATGTATATCCAAAAAGTAAAATATTTATAAAAAAATCAATAAATATCAAGAATAGGAAAATATATTGAATTTTCGTATTTTTTTGATATTTTTGGAATTTAATAAATTTTTTAAAGATTTTTTTTTACAAATATTATATTTTGTAAGTGTATTTATGTTAGATATATTTAAAAATTTTAAAAATTACTTAAAATATTAAAACAATCAGTAAAAAATAAAAATAAAAAAATTCAATTCTCTGAAAAATAAATCTTGCTGACTTGGTGAAGTGATAACGGATGACCCCTCCAAGGATCCCATCATCCATGTGAGAGGTGGCCCCCACAAGTTTATATATATTCAAAAATTCTTAAATAATAAAAATATTATTATTTTATATTAATAATTTTTATTGTAATTGAAAATTAAATCTGAAGAAAAGTTTTTGAGTGTTTTGTAAGATATTTTTATGTTGTAATTTTATTATGATTTATTTATATAGTCAGTTACGTAAATTTTTGTGCTCATATTTTATTTAATTATATTGAAAAATCTAGAAATCCCCTATATGTTGATTTGTGATTATGTATCAATTCTAGGCAGAATATAACAATCTCAATCAAACAATCAAGACAAAGAGACACAACGATTTAACGTGGAAAAAATCACAATTGGACACCTCCAACTGTGATCAAAAAACCACGGGCAACAGCCACAAGAACAATCCACTAAGAAGATTTAAAGGAATTACACAGGTATACTCTCAATTACCTAGCGAATCCACAACGCCTAATTGAACCAACCTCTATGTGCCTCTTCCAACCCCATCTTCACCACAGAATTGTCTTTCTGATGAGCCACTCCGGATTCCACCAAAGCTTCAGGCACGAATTCTTCAGAATCCACAACTGAAGAATAACACTCTCTTTTGTGTATAACAAACAAACCTTTGATGTACTCTCTTTAAATCATGAGTTGAAGACTCAATAAAAACATCAAAGAAAACTCCCAAAGTATCCCCAGATATAAACCCTAGAAACCAAAAAGAAGATCTGGAGAAGTTATCCTAAAATCTGACCCAACACGCGAATTTATAGAATCTGTCCCGCGATCTCCGCTCGAGCTCAACACAGCCCGCTCGAGCGGACTGACCAAAAACTGCGTGCGAACAAACTGAGATGCGCTCGAGCGTAGGAGAATCCGCTCGAGCGTAAAATCACACATTCCAGTATTTTTACAGGCACTGCAGAGATGCTGAGAGCTTCCAAGCCACGCTCGAGCGCCTGTTCCTCCGCTCGAGCGGACAGGCCAAAACTAGAAAAACTGGAAAAATATAACATGATCGAACAGGCAACTTTGAATGCATTTTTGCATTTTGCTTCGGGGGCGCTGCCCCTCGACCCCGCCGTGGCGCTGCCCCGGACCCGCCAAGGGGCGCTGCCCCCTCGACAATCTTGAAAGCATTGGCATCACAAACTTCTCTAAAAAGCACAATTCGGGTTGGATTCGCATCTAAACACTCATAGCCTCACTGAAATAAAAAGAGCGAATAAAATTACAACTCAAAGGAGTTTTGTCAAACGGGATTGCCAAGAAATAAAACCTAACATATATGATGGGGGATAAATAATTATTAGTGTGGAACAACTTATGAAAAGTCAAAAATAGTTGCTTCAATAATAAAAGGATGATAAAATTCCTCCTTATTCAAAAGACCTTCAGTAGTAAAAACTTAAAATTTTTCATTTCCCAAAAACCCTCAATTATAAAGCTTTAAAGATATATATATATATATATATATATATTCTCCAAAAATCCAATTATAAGATTCATTTTTTTTTCCCCAAATAATAATAAAGGTTGTGAATAATCTCAAGATTAATAAAAAAGTTGGAGTGGAAAATGTATTTAACATTAAAATTTATAATAATTTAAATGTAAGAAAAGACTGCTCGTTAAGATTTCACATTAAACCTCTTGTTAAGCCGCCCTTATTCAGACGAATAATACTCTTATGTTTTATGGCTATAAAGTGCATCTTTTACTCTTATTTTGTAGAGCTAGTGTATCTTTTGATGTACTTATCTTATGTATGATGATTTACTATTAATGAATGAATTAAAATTTAGAAAAAATCTATTTGCACACCATAAAAACTATTAGTATGCACTACAAATGTGTTTAATATAAATTTCTAAACAAATATATCAAATGTTTAGATTTAAAGTTATGAATACAAATAAATTGTTCAAATATTTGTCCTTTCGATTATTTATATTGGAAAAACTACTATATGTTCATAAATCCAAATTTGAATATTTGATATTGGTTCGGAAATTTATATCCGAATATATTTGTGGTGTGTACTGAGAATTGCTATGATATACAAATAGAGTTACCCTGAAATGTAATTGTGAAATTTGAATGCGACCCCCTCTAACTAAAATTCCTGCATCTACCACTACTCGTGATATACTATAGGTATTTTGACTATTAAAAAAGCCTGTCATTCTATATATATATATATATATTTTTTTTGGTACAAAATCATATTTGTGTAGTATTTCTACTTGTTAAGGACACTCATTCTTTTCACTGTTTTGTGGTTGTTATTCTAATTTGTTACATGAATAAAATAATAAAAAAAAGTAAATTGCACACACTTATTTGATAAAAATATAATTAGTTTTACAAGTTTAATATAATTACACTAATTTTTCTTTTAATAAAGTTAAAATCATCAAAATTAATACACAGAGTGGATAGACACATAAATAAATAAAGGTAAATATATGGTTTAAAAGAAAAGATGAGATAACATAATTTTTTTTATTCATACAACTCACAAATTAATGATTAAAAAAGACCTAGGTATTATATAAATTAAAACATTAATGGTGATTAGTGCAATTATGTCAAAAGTATAGAGATAATTATATTTTTTCCAAATCTCATGAGAGGTGAGTGTAATGTACCTAAAAAATCAAACAAAGATAAACTTTCAATCTTGTGTTTGGGGTTGCTGTTTTAGTGGATTTTTTATTCATTTATATTTTTAAGTGTCCCAAACTAGGCTTTGGTTTGTGGATATTTATTGGATCCATCTTTCATCTTGTATTTGATTGTTGATTTTTTTAACTTTAACCAAAACAGCATCAGCGGAAGAACAAGTTTAAATGGCTGAGGGAATTGGTTATGCTATTTTGGGGAGAATCGGAGAAAACTTGGTTGCTCCGATCGGCCGACAGTTTGGTTATCTGTTTTGTTTCAACACCAACATTCAAAATCTTGAGACTCAATTGGACAGCCTAAAAGTGAGACGAGAAGGGGTTCAACTAGGGGTGGATGCAACACGCAACAATGTCAGAATCGTTGGATCTCATCTTGAGGCATGGCTGACTAAAGCAAATGACCACACAGCAGAGGCAGAGACAATTATTAAAGACAAGGCTCAAGTTCAAAAGGGGTGTTTCAATGGGTGGTGTCCAAATCTCAAGTTGCGTTACTCACTGGGCAGGAAAGCTGTGAAGAAGACTCAGGAACTTGCTCTTCTCCATGCTGAGGGTAGCAACTGCATTCAGTCGTCCTACGATCCACCACCACCGAGAATAGAGCCTATATCTACAACAACAGAATTCCAGGGGTTTGATTCTCGAATTCTGGTCATGAACGAGATCATTGAGGCTTTGAAAGATGATGGGATCCACTTGATTGGGATATGCGGGATGGGCGGAATGGGCAAGACAACAATGGCAAAAGAAGTTGCAAACAGAACCAATAATCTCTTCAATGAATTTGCAATAGCAACTGTCAGCCAAGCGCCAGACTTAAAACAGGTTCAAAGTCATATTGCAGAAATGTTGGGTTTACAACTCAACATGGAGAACCCAGTAGTACGATCAAGTCGGCTACGTGAGAGACTTCTACAGAAGGATAAGAAAATTCTAGTCATATTGGATGACGTTTGGAAAGAATTTGATTTAGAGAAGTACGGATTTCCTTTGGAAGGAGGCAGCAACAAGAGTTGTAAGATCCTTTTCACTTCACGAATTCAAAATCTATGGAAAGGAATACAAAATAGAAGGTGCATCGAACTTCGAGTCCTAGTGGTTGAAGAACCATGGCATCTCTTTAGAGAGAATGTAGGCAATTGTGCTGACGACCTTGATCTGCTACCACTTGCAAAGCAGATTGTAAATGAATGTGCAGGTTTACCACTTGCCCTCGTAACTATGGGAAGTGCACTTATGAATGAACACAACCAATATCACTGGAACGATGCACTTCGACAACTAAGAACCCCTTGTTCAGAAAGTTTGTTGTCAGGAGTGCCTGCAGAAGTGTATCAAGCTCTATATTTTAGTTACAATTTTCTAAAAGATGAGAGAGCCAAGAAGTTGTTTCTGCTCTGTTGCTTGTTTCCAGAAGACTATGATATTCCTATTGAAGGTTTGGTTAGATACGGAATTGGATTGCGGTGGTTTGAAGGCATCAACAAAGTGGATGAAGTAAGAGATCGAGTGAATGTCTTAGTTGATCAACTTAAAAGTTGTTATTTACTGTTGGATGGTCGTGAAGAGTATGAAATAAAAATGCACGACGTAGTGCGCGATGTCGCCATATCAATTGCGTCTAAAGATAAGCATGGTTTTATGACAATCCATGGTGCCAAATCGAGAGAGTGGCCAAAGAAGGCGACATATGAGCTCAACACTTCCATTTCGGTGATGTCAAATGAAATTGTAGGGTTTCCAGGTGGATTGAGATGCTCAAAACTTGAGTTTTTACTAATAGAATGCTGGAATAGTTCACTAAAAATACCAAGCAATTTTTTTGAGGGCATGGAGGAACTCAAAGTTTTGGACCTGAAAATCACGAGAGACATCGCGTTACTGCCGTCGTCACTGCAATTCTTGAGCAACCTGTTGACATTGCATCTTGATAACTGTCAGAAGTTCAATAATATATCTGTAATTGGAAAGCTATTGAATCTGGAAATCCTCTCTTTCCATGATTCCGACATTGAGAAGTTACCTGAGGAAATAGGAAGATTGGTTAATTTAAAGTTGTTAGATCTGACAAGATGTTGTAGACTTGAAAGAATAGCACCTGGTGTCATATCAGCCCTAGTCCAATTACAAGAGTTGTACATGGGTGACTGTAGAATCATTTGGGAACGAGAAGGCAAGGAAGGAGGAGAAAATGTGAGCTTGAGAGAGATTGAATCCTTGTCCAATTTGAATACTTTAGAGATCAATATAAACGATGTCGTGTGTTTGCCAAGAATCCCATTGTTTAGCAAATTGAGAAAATACTCAATTGGTATAGGTTTCTATGAGGGCCACCCTTGTGATGGTTTCGGAAATGTTCTCAAACTTAGTGGCGCGGGTAATACCCCGTTAGAATGCGTCAATTCATTGTTATGCGTCAATTCGTTGTTAAGGAGTAGTGCAGCTCTAGAGTTACATTGGATGGGTTCGGAGGCTGCAGTGCAAGAGTCGTTTCGAGAGGGAGTTGAAGGACTCCCACACTTGAAGATGCTAACAATTTGTAATTGTGTTACACCAGAATGTCTTGTCAATACAATGGAATGGGTCCCGCGTACACCTAATGCTATTCCTCCTATTTTTCCTATCTTGGAGAAATTAGAGCTCTTTGCTCTACCCAATTTAAGAAAGATGTGTCACTGCCAACTTCCAACCCGCTCTTTTGGAAAACTAAAATGTCTTCATATTGGTAAACTTGATAGAATGGAAGAAGTTATTTGGAAGGAAAAAGGAGAAGATGACGCAACAAACAAGATGGAGTTTCCAGCGTTAGAAGAACTGACTTTGGAGAGACTACCAATGCTCATTGGCTTTTGCAGAGGGACTGACGAGATTGAGTTTCCTCAATTGAAGAAATTGAGTCTTGAGAATCTACCACAACTCAAGTGGCTCTTCAGTAATTCGTTTTCGGAGTCAATGGAAAACAACAATGCTACCTTCCTATCTCTTTTCCCCCACAAGGTATGTGCACGTCCTTCATATCTCTTTTCCCCCACAAGGTTCTGAATCCATGGAAGCATCTCAGTTACTCTTTGCAAAACTTTGATTGTTCCACTTTGACATAGTTTCTTCATTCTAATAAAATTTGCTGTAAATAAATTTTAAAAAATTGTGAAAATTAAAATCTAAGGAGAAAACAAGAAGTTCATACTGTGTCATAAAATGTGATTATACAATAAAAAGATCTAAACTTCTAAAGGAAAACTCTGATTAGCATTACCAAATATGAGATAAACTTCAAGTGTGATTTTTTTTTTTTTCAAATAATTAATATGATATATTCAGAAGTATAGACATGGATATGACATGTTAAAGTCATGCTCACACGACAATTAAAAAAAAATCCAAACAAATAAGGGTAAATTACATATTAGTAGTTTGATTAATGATATAAAACCCTCATATTTGTAATTATTCTCCTATTGATTTACCAAAAAAAACTTTACATTTTATCTATATCAACTATATCATTTTACTCCGCTCAATTAAAAATTGTAACACCTAACTCTCCTTATCTACTAATTTTTTTTTTTTTTTAAAAAAATTAGACTTTTATGACGAAAATGCCCTTTCATCAATATGATAAATTACATTTTACTCTCTTAAACTATCACCCAATCTCACTTGAATTAAAAAATAATACATTTATCACTTCAAATTATAAATTTATATCAATGTAAATATTTTGTTATTTTGGTTGTTGTTGTTGTGTTTTCGTCTTTGTCTTTAGTGAAATTCTTTCATTTTTAGTTAAAACTTTTTTATTTTTAGGTACATGTAAATTTTTTTTTTTTGAGAACGATGAAATCACCATAGATTAATAAGCAAGATAACAACAGTACAAGTTATAATAAACATGAGTACAAATAAAAATAGAATAGACAAGCACCACCAAAAGAGTCCCTAGCCTGGTCCAAAAGCTCAACGCCGAGGTGGCCTGAAAAGACTGGGATGAGAGTAGGAATCTTCAATTCGTGGCTCTCGCTTGCGTTTACCAGCAGCAATGTCAAAGATCAATTTAGAGGATGTAGGACGACGAGGTATGGGAGCACGAATTCTTTTTGACCGACCTGCACTACAAAACATAAAATTATCAGACAAAGAAGTTTTTCCAGAAGTCGGTGCTTGCTCCTCCATTTCACAATCACTAATAACCGAGGAAGGCGGTTGAAGAGTTGGCAAATTTGGTGGTGATGGTTGTAGTGGCTCTTCACAAGATTGGGAAGGAGTAGGTAGAACGTCCAGGGATGGGGCCTCCATCGCAATATCCACTACTGCAGCTTATAGAATTGGGTCAGAGTACCCACGAATTCGAACTTCAACAACCGACAAACTCTGTCGGTGTAAAAACTGAAAGGATCCACCGGATTGAAGAGCCTGACACGAGTTACGATCAACGAGGGGGAAATCCTTGCCCAAATGCACTCTTCTTGGACGCTTGACCTTCGACGTGGGCTTATTAGCCTTGTTGAGCGAAGTACCATACACATCAACCTCACTATTCTTAATGCAACCAAACCCACTGTGAGGCCCCTCTCTGATGACATTGCCACAAACCCACCCTGCTCCATTTCCTGGTCCATGATCCTTACTCGGAGAATGACCACTCGGTTCAACAGCAACCCCAGTATTAGAAGACCCAGGTTGTTCACGGCCTTTTGTCAGTGGAAAGATTGTATCATCCAAGCTCACTTTAGGCTGTATCAATTTATATACATTATTTTTAAATTACTTTTCATAAAAAAAAAATTTGGGGTACATAATTTTATTTATGAATAATATTAGTAATTTGAGAAATTTTACTACTTTTTGAGAGTACATAATTCATTTTTGAATATTAATAGTAGTTTAAAGAATAATAATGTTATATGTACTAATCAGTATATTAATTAATATACTAATAGATGATGTGTCAAAATTTTTGAGATTTTGAATATTTGTAATTTATATGATGAGTAGGATTAATAATAATGTCATAAGGCATATTAGTATACTAATTAATATATTAATTGATACATGTAACACTACGATTGAGAAAATGTAGTAGAACTTTAGATTCTTTTTGAATTTAATGCCGTAGAGAACTATGAATCCTTGTTTTTGTTTTGTAGTTTAGCACCCTAGGTGCTTATTCCCAATCACCTAAAAGCATGCTTACATGATGGGATTTTTTCTTTTTCTTTTTCTTTTTCTATCATTCTTAGAATTTTCTCCTTTTCTTTTTTCGCTACAACGGACAGAAAGAATTTTCTCATTTTCACCAAATGGTTGAAGAATCCAAAATTTTCCATAACTCTACAACTAACCAATTGATAGCATTTTTGGATTGAGGACATTTTTTTTTTTGTTAGTCTAACTAGTATTATAGCTTCATATTATTTATTCCATCAACGATACCAATTTGCTAAAGAGTCACAATCTAGCTTTTAACATATTTACAAAAAATAGATTTGAATTGAAATGATAAATAAAAGGTTAAAATAGATAATAACAAAAATAAAATAAAATTTTGTGTGCGTCTCACAATTTAAAGACATGAAAAAAAATTAATCAAAAAAAAAAAAAACTAAAAAACTATATTTTAGCTTAAGAATTAAACAATTTTTTTAAGGGGTATATACATATAAGTCTTAATTTATGAATTTATACTCTATTAAGTCCTAACTAAGATTTTTTAGACCTTTAAGTCTCATTAATTTTTTAATAGTCGGAATTGCCCTTCTGTCACGCCCCCAAAATATGAAATCAATAAGCCATTTATAAGATCTATGAACATAATAGGAGTGTTATATTTTCATTCATCAGAGTTTATATTACAAAAGATATTACATGCACTACACTTTCATAAATGTTCATTTTGAAACTATAGCATGTAATACAAATTGTCAACAACAAAATAAATGCCCTATTAGCTTACATCTTTCTAAGATATCACTTGGTTGCAACAAAAGAAAGAGTCTTAAACTCTATACATGTAAAGCCCTCGGCTTGAATGAACATTTAAGCATAAATATAACAAAAATAGAGCCTTCAGCCCTCAGTCCTCCCAAGCTAAGTCCTTGGAGGATGCATGTCACCACCACCTGAAAAAGATTTCCCAAGTAGGGTAACCCAAAACCCAGCAGAGCTATACTAACACAACATATGAAATTTAACTAACACATAAGCATCAATAAATGTTCAACACTTAAAAAACCAATTCACATCTTTTCCATGACCAATCAATATCTACATCTATATCTCCATCATTTCCATTCATTTATTCAAACCAACTCATAGGTATAGTTCCTTGTTATCTAAACAATCCCAAACGAGACTACAACTCATTTGTTAACACTTCAATAACAACCATTTTTCAAACACTTAAACTTTTTTGCCATTTTACGGAACTCTCATCTGAGGGAATCAACACCCATATATATATATATATATATATATATGATTTCAAGACTTTCACCTTGGACACTACGGCCAACTTAATTTTAAATGAAGTCCATCTCCTATCTCCTCCCAAACAATGGAGTACATCCCCTATCTCCTCCCAAACAATAATACATATACAATGTATTTAAAAGCATTGTCATATACAATGACTATCCAAATACATATTCAATGTTTTAACCAAACCATCATATCCAATGACATAGTTCATATGATTAGTTTCAATTTGCCTAATCCTCATGTAGTTTCTACAACATTCATAGATATCCTCCACCGATAGCCCAAAATAGATAGTTCTAAACAAATATACAATATATCAAACAGATAATTTGTCAAATTTTTCAAAGATGAGTAGTTTATCAAATCCAACTACATCATTCATTCATACATCCTCCCAATTTCATATTTCCCATATCAATTTCATTATTTATTCAAAATAATATTTGGTACAAATTAGGGCAATTTCCCTATTTTTCCAAATGTCAACCCCAAGGCCAAATTTTATCATTTCAACACTAGAGAACTTCATATACAAAGCTCCATTGCCATTTTACAAACCAACATGGAAAACTCCTCTTTCAATTTTGAGTTCAAACCCTAGCTTTACCCAAATCTTCTCAAATTCCACCATTTATATGAAACGACAAATACCTAGGTTAAAAGTCATATCAAGGTGTAGAATATCCCTACCTCGAAGAAAGAAGGCGAGCCAAGCAAGGGGAAAACTTCAAAAGTGACGAAACCAACTTCTACTCGGATCAAAGTGAAGAGCTTGAGGAGTTCTACCTTTTTAATGAAGGATGTAGGGTGAAGAGATCACTAGATCTAGGTAGAAATCTAGAGAGAGAGAGTATTTTAGAGAAAGAGGGTCTCACTTTGGGGTTTTTAGGCGAATAGATCTGAAAAAGTGATGTAAAAAGTGTTTTTTTTGCGATCTAATATACGTGCAGTTTGCTCGAGCGAAAAGTTTGACGATCGAGCGTAAGACACATAAATTTGACCCGCTCGAGCGCAAGAAAGACCGCTTGAGCGCCAAGACACAACAACAAGGCACTACCCGCTCGAGCGCTAGAAGGCACGCTCGAGTGTAAAATACACGCTTCCAGTATTTCTGCAGACAACAGACAGTACGCTCGAGTGCAAAAAATGCCGCTCGAGTTCCACCCGCTTGAGCCTAATAAACGCTGCTCGAGCGTAGAAAACACTTCTCCCGCACTTTTGCAGACACGCAAAATACTGAGAGTGTGCGAACCCCGCTCGAGCGGAAGAAGGCCCACTTGAGCAGAAGACCAAAATTCTGGGCAACAAGGTTTGGAAAAAACAAGTAACCAACCTGTTTCAAACACAACCACAACAACCTAAAGACCAATTTCAAAGGTATACAAGGGAAGTAAGAGATATACAACAATATAAAAGTATCAAACCCGAGCCCAGGACATTACAAGAGTCGGGTAAAAACTAGGATCGCTATACCTTCCAACAATAATTATCTATAAAAAAAAAATGATGATTTGACATTTATTTTGATTTTCAAAACTTTAAAACATCAACTTTTAAATTGAAAAAACTAAAAAAAAAAAAAAAAACTAATTTTTTTTTTTAAAAATTGAATTATTTTTTTGTGCAAAATTAAAAATTTTGTATCTATACATGATGATAGAACATTGATGTGCAAAAATGGGGGAAAAAAACTTTAAAAATGAAAAAAACTAATAATGTTCTCAGTTTTAAAATTGGAAAAAATTGTTAATATTTTCGGTTTTATTGGATAGTTGAATCAAACCAATAAGTAGAAGGCAAAAACGTTTAATCTCATGCTTTGTTTTTTTTTATCAGTTAGTAAAACAATTATCTGAAATATTACTATGCAAAATTGATAATTTTATTAGATTTAAAAATTGATAATATTCTTAGGTTTACTAAACAAGACTTATTGGTTCAAAAAATCTTAAATAGGACCTAAGTTACTATAACATTTGTAAATATGATTTTTAGAGGATTAACTCTTTTTTTAATTGTAGGCGTAGAGTGATATTGAGTAATAGATATAGTTGAAAAAGTATTTTCGTCAAGAAGGTCCAAATTAAAAAAAAAAAGAAAAAAGAAAAAAGAAAGGAAGATAGGGGGGGGAGGGTTTAAGTGTTCAAAACTTTTAGTTCAAGGACATGTATATACATATTTTGTATAAAAATATTAACTATTTATTTTTTACATTATATATTTATGTTTTATTATATCAATAAGGAATCAGTTTTTACACTATAAATATTCAAGAAAACATTATTAAAAAAAATTATCTTACCAATGTTGTGTCGAAACATAAAAAAATAAAAATTTAAAAAGGGGGCCAATCCACTTTAATCTTTGTCATTGGGAATTAATCTTTTGTGTTTTGTGAACCAAAGTGTAAGTTAAAAGACTAAAATACACTTGTACACAAGTAACGTCATTGTCCAAACCAAAAGTATTTCCTAAGTGTTTCAGAAGGCAAAATTCACTTTAATATTTCTTGTGTTTTAATCTATTCGTGGTTTACCTCTTACGTCTTGGAATGTCTTTCACACTTGTTAATATCTTTCATATTTAACATTACACCCTAGTTCACAAATTACAAGGAGTTATTAGGTTATTTCCAAATTACAGTAGGTAAATCACAAGAGTAAAGTGAAGTTTGCCTAAAAAAATTTAGTTCACAAACCACAAGGAGTTCTGTGTTTATTTGTAAAGGACAAAGGGTAAACCAGACATAAACTAAATCAAGGAGTAAAGAGAGCTTTGCCTAAAAAAATTTATTCTACAAATCACAAGGAGTTATATGTTTATTTTAAAATAATAACAAGGTAAACCACATTAAGAGTAAACCAAAGAGTAGAGCGAAATTTGCCTAAAAAAATAGCACCATCATAACATTATTGAAACTATAAAAATAATGTGTTTTATGTATAAAAGAACACTAGAATAACGTAGTTTACAATAATTGCTCCTCAAATTACCGAAACATCTTTTTCCTCTCTCATGTGCAATAAAAGTAGCGTAGTAGAAGAAAGCATCACCGAATATTCTACACAAAAAGTACTAAGCACTCACCTAGGCTGAATTTAGGGGGTGTGGATTGGGGCGGTTGCATCCCAATTTTTTTTGAAAATTATATATATTGTACTAGTAATTAGCAAGATAATTATAAATTTGAGTACTTTACATTTCCAAAAATTTAGTAGTTTGCACCCTCCAAATTATTTACATTACAAAATGACGCAGCGGAATGCACGGAGACTAGATATCGTTCTAGTAGACGAGAATTCTTAAATCTACAAGAACACACTTAAATCCACAAGAAAGATAGAAGAAAAACTCTTTAAAAATATTATTGATTGAATTAATCCATTATATATGCTCGTAGGCTTATTTATAATAAATTAAACCTAATACTTGTAGAAAAAGTAATTCTAAAATAAGCTAGAAAACTTAAATCAATACAAATTAGGAAACCCAACAGAATCTAAAATATTTATACTAAATTATAAGAATCCTAGTAAAATAATATATCAAAAATATTAAAACTAAAAACATAAAAATTCTTAAAATCTTGTCCTAAACCAAACCAAACCAAACCAAGCCTTAAGTCCCATCAAATGGGGTCGGCTACATGAATCCTTCTTCTCCACGCGGCCCTATCAAAGGCCATTTCATTAGTCAAATTAAGTAGATTCATATCTCTATTTATAACGCTAGTCAACGTTAATCTAGGCCTACCCCGTCCCCTAACACTTCCATCTACCGTTACAGCATCGCATCTCTTCACTACTGCCTCTGTTGGTCTCCGTTGAATATGACCAAACCATCTCAAACGATTCTCTCTCAACTTATCTTCTATCGGTGCTACTCCTACCCATTCCCGAATACACTCATTCCTAATCCTGTCATGTCTAGTCTTACCACACATCCACCTTAGCATCAATGGGATCTTATAGAATCGTGGAATCCTGCTTGGTTCTCAATCTTCACTTCTCCTCTGCTTTCATTGTTACTGTTACTAAATTTACACTCCATGTACTCTGTCTTAGTTCTGCTTATTCGAAATTCTTTAGATTCAAGAGCTTTTCTCCAAATCTAAAACTTTGTGTTAACTCCTTCTCTAGTCTCATCCACTAACACAATATCGTCTGCAAAAAGCATACACCATGGCACATCATCCTGAATATTTATCGTCAACTTGTCCATAACTAAAGCAAAAAGATAGGGACTTAAGGTAGATCCTTGGTGTAACCCTACAGTGATAGGAAATTCATTTGTTTCTCCAGCTGGCGATCTAATAGTGGTCACCACCCCTTCATACATGTCCCTAATCACGTCAATGTAGCCTTTTGTCACCCCTTTCTTCTCTAACGCCCACCATATTAAATCTTGTCCTACATCACAAAATTTTAAAAAATTTAAAATAGTTTTTAAATTGACTTTTATCAAATATTGATCTATTATATTTGTTATATTTCCATATTGTTTAAAGTAACTTGTATTATTTTACTAGTTTCTATTTGTTACTACTGTTATTTTATGCATCTTATTTTGCATTCATTCTTATTTGTTCATTCTCCAAAAATAAGAATATTGTCTGCAAATAAAAATATTATCTACTTCAGCATGACATTTTAAAATAAGTTAATAAAATTTAATACCGCTTATTGAGATGGATTATCATTATACTCATTAAAACGTACATTTTCAATTATAATTTCTTTTCAAAACTAAACTATGTAATAAGATGGAGGATGATTTTGTAGCAAGTTACTTGATTATATTTATTAAGAAAGATATTAATTAAGGTTTTGATGTCAAGTTTAACATAGATGTTTTTATATGTATAATAAAAAGTGATGATTATAATATTTTCAAATAGTTAACTTTACTAGAGGGAGACATAGTAATAGTTAATATTTTGTTAAGTTAATGCAGATAAGAAATATGTCTAATCATATTTTTGTTCTCAATTATATAGACAAAAAATGTCTGATTAATAGTAATATTATTTATTTTTTTGTGTTGGTACAAATCAAAATTTAAAATTTTATAATAATTTTTTCAATGAAAAGTTACATGTGTTTCCCTCCTTCCAAAGCTCAAATCTTAGATTTGTCCCTACCACTCACTCTGTTTGGAAATGAGCTAAGATCTTTAGAAATGGTTTTGTCATTTGGTCATGGATGGAAATTTAACTATTCAAACGTAGCTTATTCTATAGTTAGTTTCTTTAGTTGAATAACACAATCATTTGTTTCTTTTCTCTCTTTTCATTGTCAAGGATTAGTATTTTTTTTTGGTCTCAATAACCAAATGAAAAAAAGGCAATCATATCTTATTTCATTCATTTAAACGTTTTGATTATAAAGATTATTGGTCATATATGCAGACTACAACAGGAGAGACAGAGATAGAGTGATATTCCATACAATTCCTACAAATGTTATAACTACCACTGACAAAAGTTTTATTTTCAGGTTGCATTACCTAGCTTGGAGGAGCTACAACTCAGGGATCTTGACAATCTGGAAGGGTTGGGACACATTCCCATCTCAGAGGGTTCCTTTTCTAAACTTAGAAAAGTAGTTGTAGAAAACTCTAGCAAATTGCTCTGTGTTTTTCCATCACAATTTCTTATGAGGCTGCAAAATCTTGAAGATCTAACTGTAGAGAATTGTAGTTTACTAAAGAAGGTGTTTGAATTGGAAGTGGTGGACTGCAACGAACAACAATCGAAGATGCTCTCGCTCTTGAAATCTCTAAAATTAAAATATCTACCTCAACTGGATTATATTTCAGAGATCGATCCCATTGGATTGATGTACATTCCAAAATTAAGTATTCTACATATTGATGATTTGGACAACTTGAGATTTCTATTCTCACAGTCCATGACACAGTGTATCCTACAACTCCAAGAACTGGAAATAAGGGGATGTAAAATGATGTCAACAATTGTTAGGGAGGAGGATAGCCATGGTGAAATTTTGGTCGATAATATTGAGTTCACTCAATTGAAAATTCTGCGACTTTATGATTTGCAAAACCTTCTGAGTATCTTCCCCAAAGTGACTACTACTGTGGCGACATCATTTGAACACATCCAGAACCCGGGACAAAGTCTCTTCAATGAAAAGGTGAATCGTAGAAGTTGAATGCTCTAATGACACTAGAGCAGTAAATCTCCTTTTTAAACATTTTATATTACTTTTAGTAGTATGGTTGTTAATGCAATTGTTTGGTTTGCAGGCTGCATTCCCTAGCTTGGAGGAATTGCGACTCCATGGACTTCAGAACATGAACGAAATATGGTGCAATCAACTTCAGACCGGCTCGTTCAACAAACTAATTAAACTGTGTGTCTCAGGTTGTGGCAGTTTGAGAAATATGTTCTCTCCTTTTATGGCCAGACATCTTGTGCATCTAAAAAGGCTAGTCGTAATTAGATGCTCGATGATGGAAGAAGTAGTTGCAAAGGAGGAAGAAGAAGGAGGAAGGATAAACAGTACTCCATTGCCTAAATTGGAGTATTTGGAACTCAAAGATCTACCAGAGCTCAAGAGTTTTTGCCACGTTACTCATGATTGGGAATTGCCTTTGGTAGAACACATCACTATCCTTAAATGCCCTAAATTGAAGACCTTCTCTCCTGGAGTCATATGCACCCCAAAGTTGCAACGTGTATATGTGAAGGAAGGAAGGGACAGGTGGTACCCAATCAAAGAAGGAAAAGACTATCTATGGATAAGCGAACTCAATCAAACCATACCACACCTAATTGACAAGGTATGTTGTTTATATTAATACTTTTGTTTTTCTCTCTTTTTCTTCCATTAAGTGCGTAAGCCACATTTTAATGTCCAAGTATCCAAAAAGGAAAACAAACTCCAAACAATTGAGAAATAAGTATTTTAAAACTATCAAACCATGATTTTTCCAAAAATTTAAATTTTGTTTACTACGCTACTAAATTTGCAATTAAAAGAAGTATCAAATTAATATATCTAAAGTACATTTTACAAAAAAATTTCTTCCATTCAATTATAAACTTTGACAGATCAAAAGTTCCTTCTTTCTAAAGTGTGAAAGTTTCTCTTAGGTTGTGTTTTGATCATGGATTTAGGTAGGAATTTGGAAAAGAAAAGGGAAATATTGGGTGAAATATGAATAACATATAGTTACATGTCACATACTTTTTCCCTTTCTCTTTAAAATTCCTATACAAATCCATGATCCATACATAGTTTTCGAAATTAACAAAATTAGAATTCATTGTATAGGGTTATTTATTCTTGAGCTTTACTATTTCACTTGTGAATTGTGAATATTAAAACTAATATTTTAATGCCTAATTAATGATAGTACACCTCAAGTGGAACCAAAAATTCACTCTTCTGTTTGCTTTCCAACTAATATGCTATCATATATAAGCTATAAGATCTATTTATAATAACAGCATCTACGTTACATGACTGAGTATGAGTATGAGTATGGGTTGTTGATGCCTAGACAAGTACGAGACTTTTTAAATCTTAAATCTTAAGATATTGAGATATATATTCAAAAGTTATGGGGACACGTAACATACACATCTATATCTATATTCATATTATATAAATTTATTAGATGATATGAGTAAATTATTTAGAAATATATTTGAAATTAAGTAAGATTTAAGAAAAATATAGACTTTCTATCTTTCATTTATGTGAGAGGCAACAAATATTTCTTTACCAACAAGTGTGAGCTTCTTCTTCTTCAAACATCGTATGAAATTAGAGGATCTAACTGTTTAAATTGGGTATAGGTCAGACACATATTCCATATCCTTATCCTTATCATACTTGGTGGACTTGTAGTACTTTGTGTGACACTGGTTTCCAAATTGTTTGGCTGAGTTACCATCTGTATTTGCAACCTAAGTAGTAGACATGAACACAACCCATACATGGCTACATGGTGATTTTCAAAAAAATATAGGACATGATATGCTTGGAACACATTAAAAATTTATATTTTTATAAATTTATTATATATCAAATATATGAATAGTTTATTCAAAGAAAATGAAAAAATAAATTAAAATAAATAACACTAATCAAAATTAAGGGATAATTAGTTAGTAGTCCCATTGAGCTTACTCTCGGTGCTGATTGATACCCTCCATGCTTTGCAGTGGTCATTAATACTCGTTGACATCTTTTTATTACTAGGTCATATGTTCCTAGTAAGTTGTGCCATATTGGTGGTTTGCTTGAGCCAACCTTACTGCGAGGTGTAATTGGGATTTGTATTTGCTGTTACTACATTTTAACTACCACAAAATTTCAAAGTAAGACCTGCTTTTTGGGCGGATTTTGGGCATTTCAAATATATTTTCGTTGCGTTGTTTATATGTTACACATTTTAGGTTTGATAACCTTTCACAGTTCATTGTGAAAGCTCATTTCTTCTGCCATGTTGATATGTAACGTTTCAATTGTGACCAAATCATGAGTTTCCATAGTAAACCATAATGAGAAATTACACAATTCACCATAAGAAGAAATTTCACAATAGATAATAATTTGAAATTTGATGATTGACCATAGTGTGAAAGCTCATTTCTTCTGCCATGTTGATATGTAACGTTTCAATTGTGACCAAATCATGAGTTTCCATAGTAAACCATAATGAGAAATTACACAATTCACCATAAGAAGAAATTTCACAATAGATAATAATTTGAAATTTGATGATTGACCATAGTGTGAAAGCTCATTTCTTCTGCCATGTTGATATGTAACGTTTCAATTGTGACCAAATCATGAGTTTCCATAGTAAACCATAATGAGAAATTACACAATTCACCATAAGAAGAAATTTCACAATAGATAATAATTTGAAATTTGATGATTGACCATAGTGTGAAAGCTCATTTCTTCTGCCATGTTGATATGTAACGTTTCAATTGTGACCAAATCATGAGTTTCCATAGTAAACCATAATGAGAAATTACACAATTCACCATAAGAAGAAATTTCACAATAGATAATAATTTGAAATTTGATGATTGACCATAGTGTGAAAGCTCATTTCTTCTGCCATGTTGATATGTAACGTTTCAATTGTGACCAAATCATGAGTTTCCATAGTAAACCATAATGAGAAATTACACAATTCACCATAAGAAGAAATTTCACAATAGATAATAATTTGAAATTTGATGATTGACCATAGTGTGAAAGCTCATTTCTTCTGCCATGTTGATATGTAACGTTTCAATTGTGACCAAATCATGAGTTTCCATAGTAAACCATAATGAGAAATTACACAATTCACCATAAGAAGAAATTTCACAATAGATAATAATTTGAAATTTGATGATTGACCATAGTGTGAAAGCTCATTTCTTCTGCCATGTTGATATTTAACGTTTCAATTGTGACCATACCATGAGTTTCCCTAGTAAACCATAATGAGAAATTTCACAATTCACCATAACAAGAAATTTCACAATAGATAATAATTTGAAATTTGATGATTGACCATAGTGTGAAAGCTCATTTCTTCTGCCATGTTGATATTTAACGTTTCAATTGTGACCATACCATGAGTTTCCCTAGTAAACCATAATGAGAAATTTCACAATTCACCATAACAAGAAATTTCACAATAGATAATAATTTGAAATTTGATGATTGACCATAGTGTGAAAGTTCATTATTTAACACAATGAAACGGTTTCTATATCGGACAGTGTTGGTTGTTTTACATTTTTTAAAGTGAGTAGTTGCTGGGAAAACTCATTGTCCATACTAAGAAATTTCACAATTGACCATATCTTGCAAATTACAAGAATATTAAAGCCATAATTTCACACTTCTCAAAAATTGACACTATTATATTAATTGAAAGTGTGAATAGTCACACCTACCATGAAATTCAGAGTGTGTGTGCGCACTCATGCTTGTGATTTTGATTTTGTAACCATAAATAACCATAATTAGTGGGATTTGATTTTGCAACTATGATTAGTGGGATTTGATTTTGTAATAATTAATGCAATACTAGCTTGAGGTTTTTTTTTTTTTGGTAATTTGTTCTGGCGTTGGACTTTTTGGGTTATTAGAAAAAGAATGGTACTTGCTAGTCTCATATCTAGGATTTTTGGTTTAAAATCCCTAAAATTAAGAAGTCATATATTCCATAACTTAGATAGGAGAAGACATAGACTAACATAAGATGTGATTGTAAAAAAATGATAGAAGTTTGTTTAATTTAATTGGGAATCTAGCGTTTGACAGAGCTTATTATGAAAAGAATTCATATAGCCGATCTCATTTGATTAGGACACAAGGCTTAGTTTGGTTTGATTATCAGCGGGTTCGCAAGAAAAAAGATTGGGCATTATCAATACCAATACCAAGCTGATGGTGAAGTGAAACTGTGAAAGATGATGTTCGTTTTTACATTAATGAATTATTGGGGTAATCATACATTTTTGGAGGATTTGTAGTTGCTACTGGTGTAAAGCTTTTTATTTTTATAATTGATGGTAAAGCTGATGATGTATGATCATTCCATGTTTTCCTTAAATGTGCCTGTTGCATATGATTTGATGCCATTGTCTCTCATCTCTTTCTAGCTACTATTGACTATAATTTGGATTGATTGAGCTATCTGTTTTTCAAAGAGTAGTTATACTTGTTTCTTGAGTTTTGCAGTCACAAGGTCAACATATGATGCTTCCCATGCACGGCACAGAGTAGAATGGATTCTCAAACAGTTTCCATCATTTTCAATCCTAAACGAGGATATCATGTTTAAAGCTCTTTACTTATTTTAAATGTGTTCAGATCTGAGCATTGTAACATTTTAGGGGTGATTGGTTGGCGTTGTTTCATGTCCAGTGTTATGTTTCGGCATGTTTGTATATTACAGTGTCTTCTGGAGTAGATAAATTATTTGATGAATATTGAGAGCCTTTGGTGGATTTATTGAATCTTCTTTTGTTTTTTTTATTAACTTTTATTTTGGTAGGTAGGCAAGACCGGATATTTGGTCATGTAACTGACTGAGAAACTCTGTTGTGCTTTCTTTTTTTTTTCCTTTCACCTTGTTGCTATTTTCTCATTATTTTTGGATGTGCTGAGAGAATGTCTTAATCGATTTTAAAAACATCCCAAGTATGAACGGTTGGTGGTTATGTTTCAATCTTGAATTTGTAGAATTTAATGACAAAAAGGAAAGGGAAGGAAAAATGAAGCAAAAGCTAATTTCCTCCCTCTCTTTTCTCTCCATTAGGGTTGTAAACGAACTAAGTCATCTATGAACAGCATGAGTTCGGCTCGTTTAAAGTTTGTTTAAACTCGATTCATTTACTAAATGAACAAGTTTGAACTTGATTTTTAAGTTTGTTTATTAATCGAGCTGAGCTTGAATAACATTAAACTCGACTTGATAAGGCTCGTGAGCATAAAAATAAATAAGCAAATATTTATTTTTAATAATATATGCTTGCATGCCTAGGTTGCATTGCATCTAGCATGCATGTCTTGTTCCTTGATCTAGTGATAGGAATTGGGCTTTGGTTTGTTGGTTTGCATTTCATCTGACATCAAAATGTGCACACTTGGTCCCTTGGGCCATCACGCATGGAAACGCGCGATTGATGGTCCGAGAACCAAGAAGCATGTCCCTTTGAGTCACTAACATGATAAGGGACATGATTGGTGCATACATTGCTTGAATTGCATTGCCATGCAAAGTCCTGTCCTCTGCTGCTGTCAAACAGGTTCTACAGGCACTTTCTGCCGATCGACTGCATAGAGTGCCGACCGGCAACCCATCGATGGCCGATGGATGCATTCTTGGCCAATGAC